ATATAGAGATAGAGAGAGAGAGAGAGAGAGAGACAGATTGATAGTTAGATATGAAGAGTCTAAAATATTTACATATTTTTTAATCATTTCACACAAAGCAAGGTAATAAATCCCCTCAGATGCATGAAGGCTATTGAATGTAGAAGAAAAAGAAAAAAAACATTCATTAAGGAGAGTGAACAATAAAAGAAGAGGAATTAAGAAATCAGAAGATAGCGATTGACATTGCATTTAAGATTTTCAAGATCGAACTTGCCTGGAAAGCGAGATGTTGGAATATAAAAACGATTGTAATTGATCAAATTCTAATTCAAATTCAAAATTGAACCAATTGTAGATACAACAATAAAAACATTCCTCATCGGATGATATTTATTGGGTTTTTAACAGGTTATCAACCCATTGTGGTGTATTTAAAATGAAACATATTTTAGATTATAAGAATAATTATAATTTTAAATAATGTAACAGGTATTTCTTCAAAATAACAAGGATTTTTCTAAAGACAAAACCTACTATTTAGGCCATAGGTGGGGGAGAAAATGGCTGAATACATTCCACTAGCCTATTTACGTTTAAGTAAATATAATGAATCCGAATGGAATTCGATCTCGTCTCTCCGACTTCCGGGCCGCTATCCATTGCAACACACACACACACACACATTCACCTGCGACTTGCGAAATATCATCAGGCGTTGATGATATGGATTCAGGGAGAATTGGATTCATGCCTGACTCTTTGTGATTTAAATGATACGAACTAATATTTTATGCTGTCTATATAGATTACGTTTGAAAGCTGGTGAAATATCAACAGGTGTTGATGAATGGAATGCAGGGAGATATGGATTCATGCCTGAAACTATCTGATTTAAACGAAATGAACTAGTAGTTTATACTGTTTAAAGACATTACGTTTGAAAGCTGGTTAAATATTACCAAGTGTTGATGACAGTGATGGAGGGAGATGTGGAATCATGCCTTGTGCTGATTTATATCTTTAAATGATGAATTAAGCGTTTGTTCGTATAGATATGCCAACTAAACCAGAGGCTTCTTATGTGGCCATCTTATTTATCTGAATAATTTGTGAGGGAGAAAATATTTGAAAAAAGATCCCTTCCTGTACTGAACCGTTGAAAATTGTAGATAGTGGAATCTTTAAATGGACATATTTGCAAACAGCGGTAAGAATTAAAGCGCTGAAGCAACAGGTCTACGAAATAAAAAGACAGACAATGAGAGAGATAAAAACGGATAAATCCATGGAACTACTAAACTGTTATGAAAAATTTACTAAGGATTGGAAGAGTAACAGTGACTAGCGACATTAACAGGCAACGACGACAGGTAGACGAATAGAAGAACTGATACAAATCCAAACAGGTAGGAAGCCAGACAGGCATTAAAATATAAAGGCTTAGAGATAGCATTGGCAATACTGATTAGACTGAGGTAAGTAGATACCTATGTGTGCAGAAATTGACACTGAAAGACGGGTATGAACAGCCTGCAGTAGATAGATAGATAGATAGATAGAATAGATAGATAGATAGATAGATAGATAGATATGGAGAAACTTAGATATGAACAGACAGAGATAGAAAGGTAGATTAGAGCACAGTGAAATATAACACACACACACACAGATATATATATATATATATATATATATATATATATATCGATAAATCATTATGAATATATAAATATCAATGTACACATATATATAGAGAGAGATAGATAGATAGATAGATAGATATAGCAATACAGCATTATGAATAGAAACACACACACACACACACACACATATATATATAGAGAGAGAGATAATGAACCGACTAAGATAGATAGATAGATAGAAAGATATTAAGCAAAAAAGATAGGTAGATATTAAAAGCTGCTGATAAACATATGCCCACAGATAAATGCATGCGTTTTTATATATATTGATATATATATATATATAACTTAAATAATAGATTATAATATATATATATATATATTTATTCTCTCTCTCTCTCTCTATATATATATATATATATATATATATATATATATATATATATATATATATATTATATATATATATGTGTAAAAAGTGTAGCAATAATATAAGAAAAATAAATAAAGGAATTTAGAGATAAACGGAAACGATGAGAAAAATAATCAAAGTAAATAGAATAGAATCATCTATATGTCTCTTTTTCTTTCTCTTCATATATATATATATATATATATATATATATATATATATATATATATATATATATATATATATATATATATATAAATATAACAGAGACAAAAGAAACAAGCGGAAACAAAGAATAAAGAACAAAGAAAGAAAAATATATCATATATATATATATATATATATATATATATACGTGTCTGTGTGTGTGTATATGTATATATATATAGAATAGATACTTATATATATATATATATATATATATATATATATATATATATATATATATATATATATATGAAATTTAGATAGATAGATAGATAGATAGATAGATAGATAGATAGATAGATAGATGTCGCCAGTCATACGCAGTCTGATTGCTCCCAAACAGGTATCTAGATTGATCGGTATGGTTTGATTTCATTTTGTATAATGTGATATAATTTAGTCGTTGAGTCGATCTGGGAAAATATTTGCGATAACAAAGTCATAGGAAAAAAAAAAACAGACAAACTAGTAACGATGAAGCAAAAAGAAATAAAGAAGGAATTGTTTTTGCATGTTTATTGTGGTTCGCCGTAATGGACAGCTCGGTTCTACGCACGTGTTGCCGAACACTTTCTCGCTGGAGTCTTGTCAGACGGCACCTGTTGCCGCGTGGCATTGGCAAGGGAGAAAGAGGAGGATGGTAGCTGTCATCTTCCAAAGAGAGGCTGCAGAGAATTCCAGGGATGGCGAATGGTAGTTGAAGCACGAGAAGGAAGCTGAAACAAACGAAAAGAAGAAGGAAATTTAGATGGAGGAAAAAGAGGCAAAGAAAGAATTAAAAAAAATAAAAGAGCTTCGGTTTTGGGAAGGAAGCCAAAAACAGGATAAAGAGAAAGGGAATGAAAGAAAGAAGGGAAAAACAGAAATAAGGAGGAAAATTCATAATGGAAGGGAAATGGCGAAATAAAAGAAAGGAATAAAGAGAATAGCAATGGAAACTGAAAGAAAGAAAGAAAGAAAGAAAGAAAGAAAGAAAGAAAGAAAGAGAAATTGAAAAATGAAATTGAAAAAAAGAAATCAAAAATGAATAACAGAAATAAAGAAAAAAAAATGGAGAAAGAAAGAAAGAAAGAGACATTGAAAAATGAATAAAAGAAAGAAAGAAAGAAATCAAAAATGACTGACAGAAATAAAGAAAACAAAATGGAGAAAGAAAGAAAGAGAAATTGAAAAATGAATAAAAGAAAGAAAGAAATCAAAAATGAATGACAGAAACAAAGAAAACAAAATGGAGAAGGAAAGAAAGAAAGGAAGAAAGAGACATTGAAAATGAATAAAAGAAAGAAAGAAATCAAAAATGAATGACAGAAATAAAGAAAACAATATGGAGAAAGAAAGAAAGAGACATTGGAAAATGAATAAAAGAAAGAAAGAAATCAAAAATGAATAGCAGAAATAAAGAAAACAAAATGGAGAAAGAAAGAAAGAAAGAAAGAAAGAGAAATTGAAAAATGAATAAAAGAAAGAAAGAAAACAAAATGGAGAAAGAAAGAAAGAGACATTGAAAAATGAATAAAAGAAAACAAAATGGAGAAAGAAAGAAAGAAAGAAATTGAAAAATGAATAAAAGAAAGAAAGAAAACAAAATGGAGAAAGAAAGAAAGAGACATTGAAAAATGAATAAAAGAAAACAAAATGCAGAAAGAAAGAAAGAAAGAAAGAAAGAAAGAAAGAAAGCAAGCAAGCATGGGTGAGAAAATGATAGAAACAAGAAAGTACTAGAAAGAGGGAGAAATGAAATAGATAAAGAAAGAAAGAAATAAAAAAGAACGAAAGAAAGAAAAATTAAAGAAAGAAAAGCAGAAATGAGTAACAGAAACAAAGAAAGCAAAAATGAATAAAAGAAAAAAGAAAGAAAGAAAAAGAAAGACAAAAGGAAAGAAAGAAAAAAGAAAGAAAAATTTAAAATGAATAAACGAATCATGAAGCAGAAATGAATAACAAAAAAAAACAAAAATGGATAAAAGAAAGAAAGAAAGATATCGTCGGTAAGAAAACGAATAAGAAAGGGAAATAGGAGAGAAGGAGTAATGAAAGAAAGAAAATAAATAAATCAGGAATGATTGAAGAAAGGAAAGAATCCAAAATGACAGTAAGATAGAACAAAGGAAAGAATGACTGAAAAAGAAGGAAAAGTGTATCGATAAAAAGGAAGAAAAATCAATATTTTAAAGAAGAAAGCAAGACAGAAGGAAGGATAAATTAAGAAAGTAAAAACAGTGAAAGAAAAGAAATGAAAGAAGGAATGTGAGAGAAGGAAAGAAAAGAAACAGAAATGAGAATAAAAACACTGAACGAATGGAAGGAAGGCTAAATTTTAAAAAAGAAACGAAAGAAAAAGGATGCAAGGAGGAATTAGAGGAAGAAGAAGAGGAATAAAAGTCAGGAATACGTTGACGATGTGAAGGAAATAATGAAAGAAAGAAAAAGAGAATAAAAAAAATGAAAGGAAAATAATCATATGAACTAAATAAACAGTGACTAATTCTTGTAGTATTTGAAGGATTCTTTATAAGTTTTGGTCGTGTTTGTTTCTACTTTCTGTACTAATATGACTTACTTTTCCTGTCCCTATATTCGCTCACTTTATCCATTTTGTGTGCACTTTCATTAATACAGTTGCCATTAGTATAATCCACATAATAAACAAAATAAAAATACAACATAATGAAAACAGAAAGATTTCTATAAAGAATCAAAAAATGGCACTTGATATTTTGAGGACACATAATGAGAAAAAGGAATAACAGATAGGAAGCTGTGAAGAGCTATGAACGGCATCTAGCCCGAAATGACACAACACATAGACGATTATTTTAGTATAGATCGGCAATTTTTTTTTTTTTTTTTGTGTCTGGGCTCATTTTCTGTGTGCTCTGACTTGAATGTAAATAACCTTCTCTCTGCCTGGGACCATAGCTTCTGACACGTTCCCGAAATACGGTGTGGGCCGGGTTTTTTCTATTGGGCATTTCACGACCCATCAACAAGAAAAGATTATTCTGGGGAAAAAAATAAGAAGTTTATTCCGAAGAAAGCCAAAACGGGATAATAAGAAATATCGAAGAATATTATATATATATATATATATATATATATATATACTCGACACTCCCGTCGAATTCGACGTATGAGGGTCAAGCAGATCAGTTCCCAGGTAACCGACAGCCCGACAACAGCACATACGATTTGATTATAGTGGTGAAGGTTTCGTGCAGGACCATCCACACTTTTTGATGGGTCGAATACAGAGACCTGGTGCTTTACGTGCCACAAGGTTCCCAAACAACCCTCCGAAGGTTTTGAATTCAGAGTTGTCCTTCTCCTAGACCAGTTGCCATCCATGGCTATAGAACCCAGTCTGCCATACTATTTACAAGAGTTAGAAGGAGAAAAAGAGTATTCCTACCTTTCCCAAGGGTATTAGAATGTAATGGAATTCGAACTCGGCTCTCCGATTCCTCACTCGAAGCCTCCTTATATATATATATATATATATATATATATATATATAAAACAAAATTAAGAAATACAAACCACTGATGCTACCATAGTTTCCAACTGTAAGGTTTATTCAGGCAGTTGAAGTTAATTTTGACTCCTAAGAACTTTGTTTATTTATTGAAAAAATTAAAATATAAAAAAAAAGAAAGAAGAGAAAGAATTTGGGAAATGCATCTAAAATCTACTGTCCGAAGAAACCTTACCGGTAGAAAACATGGTAGCGTAAGTGGTTAATATTTCTTGGCTTTGATATGGCTCTGCACATTCGTTTTGTCTAAAAACACCTGATGATGTGCAGAGCTATATATATATATATATATATATATACACACACACACACACATAAACACACACACACACACACACACACACACACACACACACACACACATATATATATATATATATATATATATATAAATATATATATATTATGAAATGGACAAAGTCCGAGAAATATTTTAAGACTTTTTTATGTTTATACATTTTTTATAGATACAAATATTTAAGTAAATGCTCTGTTTATAATAAACAGTATTAATAACATTTACCGGCCTGAATGTCGAGAAATTTTCACAGAAAATATTCGTCCTGCGAAAATTTCTCGGACATTCAGGCCGCTAAATGTTTTAATACTGTTTATTATAAACAGAACAACTATTTTTTTTATATTTTATTTATATAAAGAATGTATAAACATAAAATGTTTTTATATATATATATATATATATATATATTATAAGACAAGTTTATTTGTGACTCGTTTCAGCCGTTAGGACTTCATCGTACTGGGTTTAATGATGTTGTTGTAATTACGCATGCGCATACACTTTATCTCCTTAATATTAAATCTCAATACATTGTTTCAAGACATTTGTTTCATTGCATTTTACTAAATAATCTTTCTATCTCGCCGCCATATATTCAATCAAATTTCACCGTAAATTCAAATACTGCAAAGGATCGAAGTGTCGTTCTTACGGTAGATCTTAGCAAGCTAAAATTTGATTTCTTTTATTAAGACATAAATGATTTTCTTTGGTATATTTTATATTGTTTTTCAGGATGTGAGTGATCGTAGTTCTCACCAACTTCCTTTCATTCGTAACTCTAAGTAACATCTGTCGCCTTTTCACTCCCGTCACATTTCCAATCGAGCAGCTTCTTCACACAAACCGTGGCCTCGTGGAACCGGCTCTGAAGAGGTTGCTTCCGCAACCACACGAATATTAATCTTTTCATTGCCTAGTCTTTTTACCTGTTATATCCTCCATATATCTGGACATCTGGACTTTACTTAATGACTCTCTACGTCAAGTGGCCTTCAGGCATTGTACAGGATAGATATCATTGCAAAATAAAGTTCGGCCGCTTCTCCCTCCAGATTATAAAACAATGCCTAACTTTTATTTAGCCGATGCGTCACTTACAGAACCCTGCTTACTAGTGGCATTTGCACCTTAGTGAAATAAAACGAAAGGTGTAACAGAGTGTGAAGAATATAAGAAAAAAGAAAACATTATTAATTAGAGAACAATAAATGTACAAGATTTAAGAAGACTGAAGGTAACGATTGACATAAATTTGTTAGATGTAACTCTAAGCATAGGACATAGGGCTGTAAATAGTCGTTTCAACTATGAAAACTGATGAATTCCAAACGATGAGACTTCTCCGCCAATCTAGTACTGCGCTTAAATTCATAAAGTCAAGTTACTAAAGAGGAAAATTCATCAGAACAATTACCATGAAAGTATTTATAGAAAATTTACAGGAAAGATACTTTACAGCGGTGGGAAAGTGACTGAAGCCGTGATGCCAGGTCAGGACCAATAACATTGCAGATTCTTCTTTGTATGTTTTGAAGAATCTCTAAAAGACCAAACTAGTTACGTTCCAACATCGCTGATTTGACACTGAGCTACCACCAATCAGGATGAACGGAGGTCCTCTCTGGGAAGCACCGTGCCTTGACAGACTGTTGCGCATCAAAAACAAACTTACACCTGACCTCAAGTGGAACTTGTACATACGATCCATTGCTAAGGAAACAGGTAAAATGGTCAGTGACCTGTACAACTCCAGTAAGTACCTGACTCCTTCTGTTATCCTCTATCTTTTACAACAGTCAGATCAGGCCCAAAATGGAATACTGGACAGGAGCTACAAAGACCTTAAAGCTCAAAAGCGTCCCTGAGCCTTTATGGATGAAGAATTATTCTCCACCCTTCAACTCATCTTCAAAATGCGGGATGTGGCAAGCCTCTCGCTGCTTTATCGCTACTTCCAGGGAAAATGCTCGGGGGAAATACATTCACTCGTCCCGCCGAGGCAAACAATCACAGCAAGAAGACGTCATGCCACTTACATAGTAACAAACCACCCACATTTTCTTCATATTCCATCGGAGAGAGGTAAGTTACACCCTAGAAGCTTCTTCCAGCGAAACAACGCCATGTGGAACCGTTTCCCAACAGGATGATTCCCAGATCACCATAATCATAACTTATTCAAGGCTAGGGTTAATCGTTATCTCTCTCACTTATACAGATAAATGATCTAACATAACCCTCTACTTTGAGTGGACAATAGGCCTTGTAAAGAGTAACCCGAGCTGTTAAAAGAAACAAAAAGAAACTCCTGATAAGGGCCTGACAGCAATATTTAAAACATGGAGCAATGCTAGATTTTTTTTTAAGCATTTCACCCAAACCAAGGCGGGTAGCCACTAGCAAGCAAGAGGTTACAGAGGATTTGGAGCGAGTGCAGATAGGAGTGATAGAGGAAAGGATGAGGAGAAGGATAGATCAGGGCATCTGGAGACGTCGATTGACATTACATTTGAATAGTTGGAGATTATAGCTATCAGAAAAAACACGAAAAGGGGAGGGAATTCTACAGGCGAGAGTTGCGAGACATGAAGCTATTGGAGTAGAAGAGACGACTACATTTAGGAGTTTCGACAGTGAAAGGGTGGGAGCGGGGTGCCAGCCTCGTAGCCTTTGAACCAGCGCAAGCAGCTCATCGGAGCAATTACCATGAAAGTATTTGTAAAAAAGACAGAGAGAGACGACGGTACGTCTGTGAGAGAGCGACTGCAGACGAGATGCCAGATCAGGGCCAATTATATTGCATATCCGTCTCTGAATCTTCTTGAGAATGTGTAACATAGATTCTGGCGTAAAAAAAAATAGTTATCGGGCACGACAGGGATAACAAACTTTCCTAACAGTATTGAATATTAAATCAATATAATCCATTCGCTATTATGTCAGTGGATAACGTTTGTCCGAGTAAGGAGCAATGAGTTATTCTGTTGGTTTGTATCAGCGGCCAAAAAGGTTTTCTCATACGGAGTTAAATTGATTATCATTCCTTCATATATTGACATTGGAATGTATCTGACTTATATTGAATCATTGTTTCTTTTCCCTTTCAAGTGATTCCCTCACTTGCTCTCTTATTTCCACATGTTATATTTATATCATGGTGATTTTTCTCTTTTCTATTTGTTACTGAAAAATCATGTTCCGCCATTAAGTAATTATAAAGGTTTCTCTATCTATACTGCAATGTAACGATATTCTATTCTGCTTGTAGCGATAATTGTTTTTTTATCGTAACACAGTAAGAAAGGCACATCGTAGCGTGATTTTTGTTACAGCAATACCATAAAATTAGTCTAGTTTGAAGACTAGCAGAATTTCATCTTCATTTTGCATCTTGCCAGATGTGTAATCCAATTACGTTGTTAGCACAATGGATATTATATTGATTTTGTAAGGTTTGATTATGTGCTTGTTAATTATTATTATTATTATTATTATTATTAGATATTAATAATTGTTATTATTATTATTGTTAAATTTAATTTTTAAACAAATTGTTAATTATTAATTTCAATTAATAATTATAGTATTTTAATATTCAGTCGTTTAATATTCTGTTAATGTGCTATTATCATTGTTTTAATAATCTATTACGCTTAGTTAATTACAATATTAATTGATAGTTTTTAATTGTTAATTCTCGTTGTGTGACAGTGTTAATGAAAATGAAGAAAACTGAATCGACTACATGTGCTTTATGTTATTGTATTATTTGTAATTCTGTTCTCATTACTTATTTTAGTAAATGGGGGTAATAAGACATCTGGATGACTCTGTATATTGGACGTCCTACGCAAACCAAAACAGAACATGCTTATACAATGTCTTCTTTTTTTTAATGTAATTTTTTTTTTAAATTCTGGAGTGTGTAATCGATAGTAATATATAAAGAAAAAGAAACAAATTACATATGGCTACATAGAAAAAAAAGATTTTTGAGAAAATAAACAAATTTATTTCAGGTTATTCTTATTTCTTTGTAAAAAATTGTTGAACTTTTTTCCGTTTCTTCAACCATTATTATTTGCAGATTTTAATCCAAAAATCAATTTCCTTAAACTGCAAGAATAGATGCTGAAATGCCATTTAACAAGAATGGATTCTTTAATCCTATTTGAAGTGTTTTAACATAGTATAGAAAATACGACACAGAAATCCGAACTGCCACTGGAATAGCAAAAGATATCTTTTAAAAGCTAAGCAAAGTATTAAGAAACAGGAAAATATCGTTTGAAACAAAGAAAAGAGTGCTGAAATTTTATTTAATATCAATCCTCTTGGAAGAAAATGATATATATATTTTTTTTTACACTATTAACATTGTTCGGACTGTTGTCCTCATCTTTATTGTGACATTCACAACGTTTCGGCCATTGTATACTCCCGCCTTCCTCGGGTGATATTTATTTGAATTTCGAACCGAACCCAGAATAGTCAATCTGTATGTGGACATTTTTGAGGATTGGTTCGATGATGTTTGTGTAGACGTTCTTCTCATGAAATCGGCTGACATTCACATTACTGCAGGGAAAAGAACAGAGTCGCAGCGACTTTTCTGAGCGATCCAGGAGTTGGAAGGTTAGACGAGGTTTAGCCGACAAGAATCAATTCTAGTAGGATTTTTAATTCAAAGCTTAAAAATTCAACAGACATTTAAATATCTGACAAGCGTTTGAATAGAGAATAAAAAAATGGCACCTAAATCCGAACAGACACTGGAATCGATAAATATGAATTACAGATTTAAGTAATGCATTAAGGCAGGAGAAATTTTCATAAGATAAAACAAGAACAGAGTAAGAAACTGTTTTATAAGGTCAGACATCTTGTATGCCAATGACAGCTAGAAAATCTCATTATTGCTTCTGTTGCCTTTAATATAAATAATGTTTAGTTGTTACTTTATTTCCTTCTGTAGCAGTTCTGCTACACTGTGTCCTCGGCAAACATGGAATTTCGTACCCGAAAAAAAAAACCGGATGGTTTTTCCCATGACACCGCTATTATTTTAACTACCTTAACTCTTCGGCAATGTTTAGTGTTTTAAAAAGAAATGATTAGAATTGTAATAAAACCTAAACATATGAAAGTGAATTTATCCACTTGTTTTTGAAAACAGACAAAAAAAATTATTTATTTATTAGATTGTTTATTGGAATGGTTTGCAAAATATCAGCTAATTGCAAATTGATTCAAATTTTATAAAATGGTAAATAATAAGGATTACCTTAGAGATGGTTATTTTAATAATTTAGTAAATGTTTATAAATTCATGAATAAAAAAATGTTCGCATATGTATTTATTTATAAATTGGTAAATGATAAATATTGTATTCCATTAGTCTTAATAGAATTGTATACATTTTTAGAATGTTATACATACTAGATTACTCTTGTAATCTAGGTTTCCTCTCTACTGTTTTCGATGTTTAAAACTTATTCACCATTCTCTTGATAATTCTTGAATGGACTTTGAAGATGGAAACCAGAGTATGAATTTTGGTATCATTCCTGAAGGCCTCAATGATCTTTTTTCTCTTACCATTGCTCAGTTGGGAAGACATAGTGTGGCTTATACAAAATGATTTTAACTTGTTCTCTTTCTAGCTGAATAATTCAAAGGGTATTCCAGCGATTCTTACGACAAATGGTGTCAAGATGGCTGACCATCCGAAAACCTAAGAAAAAGAAAGTCAATTAGTTTAGTGTTTTTTTTAATATTAAACATTTTGTGGGATCGACAATTATGGTGTTACACCTGGAACACACACACACACACACACACACACAACATATATATATATATATATATATATATATATATATTGCTACATGAGTTTCCGGTCTCGCGACCGTCATCAGGCAAAGGTTGGAGATTTCCACATATTATTAAAAATAATTCATTTTTTCTTTATGTTTTTCGATGTTAAATATTCACGATATGAGACATTCTCTTTTTGTGTTAGTAATCCAAACGTCTTTCTTGAACTGGCAGTGAAAAGTTCTGCGTGAAGGGTTATAAAACAATAAGGATTGGTCCTAGAAATGAAGCAGTAGTTATCGGCATGCTTATCTTTTAATGACCTCTGTGTGTTCTTAGATCTATTTCCATTTCGTGTGCTTTTGTCAGCATGCGTGTATATAAGTGTATATCCCTCTCCATACATACACACACAGTCTCATATATATATATATATATATATATATATATATATATATATATATATATATATATATATATATATATCTGATGCAATGAGAACGCAAATAATATATAAATTCTAACGTTCACAGCATTAATTCAAAAGAGGGCCAGTAACGATAGTAGTGCAATAATTATTCATTATAATTTCAATATATAGATAAAAACAGTTTACTCACTACAAAAATGCAACTTCGTTTCGGTGCATTTAAATTGCACCTCGACTGGTGAGAACCAAAAATGGTTTAGGAATAATTCTGCTTGTAAGCAAGACTTTAACCGGTCCGTTTTCATATCCCTGAAGAAACACGGCTTGGAAAACTTAACTTTCACAAGGCATATCGAGGGCAAGAGAGATAGGAGAAAGCATTGTACAAAGAGAGAAATGCTACTAAATGCCATGGAGGATAATAAATTTTTTTAGGAGAAATGATCATCCACGTTTTGAATGGCCACGGCACAGAGAAGAAAAACATTATTAAACAAAAGTACTTCTTAATTTATTACAGAAACTTGAAAAAAAAAAAAAAACAAAACTTATAAATTGTCAAATCATACTACGTGCGTGTATATCTGAATCAGCAAATGACCCATTTAGATGTCAATGCATTAAAATAAACCGAACCACGTTTTGTAGCATCAGGCGGGTCGAGATTTGAAAATACCAACTGATAATTCTCCTGCTAATAAGGTTTCGGAAACATCAGAGAAAAAGAAAGCTGTATCGTGGAGAGTGCGTATGAATTTGCATAGAGAAACAGGTAGGTGGGTCCCCTGTCTAGCAGAATCAAGTGTTATGAATAGGGACAGCCCAGTCGGCTTGCACGTCACCCAACAAATATCATTCATTGCAGGACGGTTGTACACACTAGAGTCGTTGCTCTTGCATCAAAGCTCACTACGCCCCCGCTTATTTAGCGCTCGTCGGCCACACCCTCTCTTCCCAGTTCAATTTTAGGTAAACAATAAGAATTATTTCTTTGCATCTAACGTCTTTCTTTCTTTCTTTCTTTTTTTCTTTCTTTCCTTCTTTCTTTCATTCTTTCTTTCTTTCCTTTTTTCATTCTTTCCTTCTTTCTTTCCTTCTTTCTTTCTTTCTTTCTTTCCTTTTTTCTTTCTTTCCTTCTTTCCTTCTTTCTTTCTTTCTTTCTTTCTTTCTTTTCCGCGGTCTTTTTACATGCCTCGTTTTCTATCATTTATCTTGCTTGCTTTCTTATATTTTCCTTCCTTCCTTCCTTCCTTCCTTCCTTCCTTCCTTTTCTTTTTATTCTATCTCTTTCTTTCATTCTTTGTTACATATTTCCTCTTTGTCTTTTTACATGTTTCCTTTCTTTTCAAATTATATTTCTTGCTGTTTTACATATATTTTCCTCTTTCTTTCTTTCTTTCTTTTTTTCTTTCTTTCTTTCTTTCTTTCTTTCTTAGACATTTCCTCTTTCTTTCCGGCATCAACCTTATCTTTTTTTTTTTTTTTGCAATCACTGGCTTTCGTATAATCGTAGCTACAACTGCTGAAAGAAATCTACGCTTATCTATAGGATACATGTGCGATGACGCTATACAGTCTTCTCTTGTCCTGCTAGCTGTTTATACGTACGTGAACGTGTGTCGCAGAGCTATCTTTCAAAGTACACACAAACATATACAATTTAAGAAACGTTGGTCTTTTTCTTCAGCACGAAAACGATCTCTTAATGAACTAAGATCAAATCGTTAACCATAACAGCAAAATGATAGACAAAAACATATGTAAATTTAAAAAAAAAATATTATGTTCATCTTTAGCTGAATATCGTGTTAAATGAAAAAAAAAATTCTGTAGTAAGATTATGATGCGCCAGCCTCTAATCCTGATTTTTACTAGCGCTCATTACCATTTTCAGATAATGCTTTTTAAAATTTAATTTAATTACATCACTTATAATAATATAGTTTCTGTTTTTTTTTTTTTATTATTATTGAAACGTTTCGACCATTCTAGCCACTGGACTTCTTCATAGTGTCTATCAATCGTAGAAATTTTGAACTAAACCTTCGTTTTAATCTATGGGGATGTATTTATTTATCGTTCTGCTGTTCATATCTAGGGATATCACTTCTGGTTCGTTTTTAGTACTGTTCACATATTATTTGTCTTTTATTGACGGTCCAAGGATTGAACTCGCTATTACTAGATCGCCAGACTCACTAAGAAATGTTACAATTCGTTCAGTTATTTCTCCCGTGGAATGAAGAAAGTCGCATAGTTCAACAGGCAATTTATTGTGACGGATAAAAAACAAAACAAAAAAAAAAGTTGAGAACAATACCCTGAATGTAAATAATAATAACTCCTCATCTGAGACAGAAAACTCAGCAAAGCTTGACACGAGGCCACAAAAGTGGGGCGCTTGCTGGGAGAGGAGGAGAGGATCGAATTTAGTAGCATTTATCAGACTAGCTCGTTAAGCCGTTACGACAAGACGCATTTTTTCGTAGTACGCGACTACCGAAATAAATCCACGTTTGTCGATATGCGACACATGTCATATCGACGTATTGGTAATGAATGTACGAGTGATTCCATCCGCATAGGATTACATACACACAGGTGGATCCCAAAAATAGGCGAACGTAACAGTTCCCTGATAATCAACATGTATTAACGTAAACAGAAAAAGG